TGGTAAATTAGTATAGTAAGACCAAGTTCTGTGTTCTAGTAGCGATTGGGGGAGGGGGGGGGATGCACTACACTGTCAAACATATCAAAAAGGATACCTAGCTCAAAACCCATAATTTATTACCACTAAAAGATATGATAGGGTACTATTGAAACTGTTTGTATGAAATAATAAACTAAATACAAACTGTATTGAAATGCAGTAGCACATCCATTATAGGTTCATGCTATATACAATCTATATATATACATTGTAAAAATACAAACTGTCGTTATTTGAAAACGGCGATTAATCATAAAACAATTGAAATACTATCCATTAACCATAAACACTAAATTAGAATCTATCATAGACACATTCATCATACATACACTCCAGTAACATTTAATACTAATTTAGGAACAACTATAATACTACCTCAATTCATTATTAATTCAAACTACAGTGATACAAACTGTAAAGTAACCCATAACTAAGACCTTTTTATACAGTTAATTAAGAAACTGGGTATTTGTGAAAGTAGTTATTTGGAACTGGTAACTACAGATACAAACTACACAGTCAGAAACTTCTATTCATTATAGTACAATTTATTTGGACATTTTAAGTACATATACAAACTATATATGGTTGGAAAGTTTAAGTCATGATAAATTCAAACTATGTAGTTATTTGAAACTGTTTTCTACCGATACAAACTATATCAAAACTATCTATCATTATAAATTCAAACTATGTAGGTATTTGGAGATCTTACTCAGTGTAGATACAAGTTGTGTAGTTATTTGGAGATCGTATTCAGAGTATCTACGGATATAAAATTATTGACTTTGAAACTCTCTATCATTATAAATTCAAACTATGAAGTTTTTGGAGACTGTATTCAGTGTAGATACAAACTATGTAGCTTCCAATCATTATAAATACAAACTTATATACATGGAAACCCTTTTCTTGATGCATGTAGATGAAAGTATATAGTTACTTGAGATTAATTCTATATATACACTCTACGTGTATATTTGTTCTGAAACTGTCACCACAGATACAAACTCTGAACTAACGAACTAATGTATTCCATTAGATGGCGTGAGAATGTTTAAGGAGAATGCCTTGCTGCTCGAGATGTACTTAAGTGTATCTCTAAAATGAAGACACATATTCCAAGCGTTGATAATTTTAACAGCACAACTCTGAATGCTAGGCAAATCTAATTATCTATGTATATATATATATATATAGCCAGAGGTACAATTAGACTTAGTTTTTAATCTACTTAAGACTATTAGCTATCACAAATCTGATTTAAATGTATACAAAAATACATTCTATATGTTCAGATGAATATTGTAATTGAAAATGATATGTCGAAGGATGAGCAATATCACATCAAACTATCAGTTTTATTCAGGCAAAAAAGAAAAAGAAAAACAATATTTAGACTACTGCAGTTGCCAAAATAACAGAAATATTTCTAAAGAATTGTTACAAATAAATATTTACATTAATTATTTGGATAACATCAGAAATATGTTTTGTTTTTCCTGAGAAACATAATATAATGACCATTTATACATAACAGTTTAGTACGCTAGCCAAACCTTTCAACCATTAATCGTAAAAATTAGCACATGGGATCTATCGTCCCATCCGAAAGACTAGAAGCTTTTGCCTCTACCACTTGTATAACAAATACAAAGGAAAATACGAGGGAACGATTTCGACCCAAATGTTACAGGCGTTTGACACACAGAGCCAGAAATGGTAAGAAAATATGAATAATGTTATAGACTTAGATATACCACTAGTTCAAAAATCATTTGAAAAAAATCACAACTAGAAGCATCTTAGATTTTATTTTTATCCATTATATACCATTAATTTTTTAAAATATTGAATGTTAGTAGATATAAAGTGAAAGAATACTTGTAACTTGTCAAGTTTCTAATCTAGTCTTTTGTAAGTTAATTGTAAAGCTTAATGGAATACCTGCTGGTATATATAATAAGCCTATTATTCTTATTCTAACTTCCATTAAGCCTGATAAACAGCCAATACACAGTGTAACAATTATATAGATAACCAATATTTTCACGTTTTTCCTTTCGTGATTAACTATTTATAACCTTGTACAAATTATTACAATAATACAATGATATAGATTTAAACATCATCCTACTTACAAGCGTAAATTTGAAGACGAAAAATCTTCAATCGGTTTCTTTTTGAGAAGGAACTTTATTATTTACACCAGTACATAAAAATGAGAGACCTACATAAATGATCAGAGATTTAAACATTTCTTTTCATGACAACCACATACTATTACTTGTTGATGCCATGTGATATTTACTATATAATATATCTTTTGATCATAAAACATTCCACTTCGGAAAATTACCGCAACCATAGTCATGCACTTCTTTTGATCTTTTTGGGATGATAATGAACAATATTACCAATAACGAGGAAAATAACTCATACTTAATATTTTTGGATGGGTGATTACAAACACTCACACCAAGTTTCCTTCAAGAATTGTGGCTTCTAGAGTGTTTACGAGCTTCAAATCGAAAGTATTTTAAAGAACAAGGGCAATAACTCATTTTAAATATTTTAAAGAAATCAGAAAAATAGAGAACAATGAAATAAATTCTAATGATTTAAACATGATAGACAAGTTGTAGACTTCTAACAACAGATTTACAACTATTGTTGGACTGGTTTTTTCTATATACTTAGACAAAAAAAAAATTCTGAAAAAAATAAGACTTAAAAGCATAAATTTTACTTATACTTAACTATACTAACTATACGAAACTAACGCTATAAGCTGTCAGTCAACATGTCACGTGATTGAGAAATTCTTTATGAAAAAGTATCCATTAAATAGAAAAGTTTTGTCAATGCTGATTGAATCCAAAGGTTGGATGGGTTCTTAAATTTGATATCTCTACAAAACTATGTTATATTTAATTTCTAAATGAGAAACAGAAAATTTGTCTGGCTGTATAGGCCTACCTTCATCTTGGTTGGTTGGTAGATGACAAGTTAACGTTCGCTTTCAGCGGATGCTGATAACACAAACTGATAAGGTAAGGCTTTTATAGCACCAACCCACATTTCACACATCCCACAATTATTTACAACCCTCTTGAGAGAGAGTTTCCTTGACAAGTTTTCTTTAATATCGTATTATCATTATCACACAACGTTAGCCTAATTGATCCAGTTGTTTATTCCCGGAGAAAAATTGTACATTAACAAAAATAAGATATGAATAGGACTATCACAATAGCTTTATATCTGGTATTTTAACTCGAATATAACAGGAAATATGAATAAATGAGGATCAAAATCATCCAGTAAAGGGATTTAACAGATTATTTTCTTTGTTTGGCAGGAGAGATTTTGTGTCTTGTATTAGTTAAATCATTAACAAGACCTGTCCTAGTAAATCTGTGACTTTATCAATTAACTGGAAATAAACACGAGACTACAAGGTATAACATCTCACATTCGTGAAAATTGATATAAATTTAGTGACAACAGTTTTGAAGCAAGTTGGAAAGAAAAGGAGATCCAGCTGAGTGTCTGAATTTTTACGAAACAAAATTGGAAGCAAAATGCTTTTTAACAAAGCATTATTTTTTCGTTTGAATGGTTTAGGTGCTTTAAACAAAGCATTATTCTTTCATTTGAATGTTTTAGGTGCTTTAAACAAAGCATTATTCTATCATTTGAATGTTTTAGGTGCTTTAAACAAAGCATTATTCTATCATTTGAATGGTTTAAGATTGCTTTTACCGTTTTGATTTTTTCGTTTAATCGCTTTCCTGTCGCTAATGATGGTTTTGTAGCATCATATTAATTATTAAAACGTTATTTTGGTATTGTTGTATTGTTATGTACGAAACATATCAAATAAAATATCATGATTGAATAAAACCATTTCTTCAAAACTAGACCAACCCGTTCAGGAAATTATACTATTATAATGAGTAAACTTGAATTCAATATGCGTCATAACAGTTTCCCGTGTCTCGCTTCTAATAGTGAAAATAAAAGGTAGTTAATTTGAAATCAGAAACCAACTGTGATAGGTCTTCTTATTTTGAAAATATCAATTTCCTTTTCAATTAACCAACAACTGGAATAGAGGATACTCCTTTTGAATGAGATCTTTTGTAGGTTTTTCTTATAATTAAATTCATACAAATTATTACTGGAATTATTGTAGGGCGTTTTTGATGATAAAACAACCCATATACTTTCTTCTCATTGTTTAGAGTTTCATGTCTCATTATAGACTAATGATAAGAGAAATAGGATCCTTAATTGTTTGTTGGATGAAAAGGATGCACGAAGAACTAAGACACTTTATTTCATAATTATGAAACAATGTAGGGGCAAGTTTACAAACGCAGCTCAACATAGACTTTAAACCTATCAAATATAAGTATACTGTATGCCGTACGCAATTTATTGCTGTTCTGATGATTAAACTCCTTTGAAGTTTATTCTAATCATATTGAATTTCACTCCGATAAAAGGAAAAAACCGAGAACTAGCAGGAGAGATTTAGGATAATGAATTCATTAAAACATGTAATAGTTTTCAGATCATAAGTCCCATCCTCTGTTTCTCGTACATTTAATGATGGACATGCAAAGTCACGTGAATTACTGGAGAAAACATCACAGGCATATGAAAATCATTCGCTGATTATAATATAGCAGTGCGTTTTGATATGTTCCAGGAAGTTTTTCATGTACCCAAGTTAAAATGCAGGATTTAGATGGTAGATTCTTTGAAATACAGAGAAACCATACCATGTAATTATGTAAGCTTTTTCCATATCAATTATTTTATCAACAAGACCTTTGACCAAATCCACAACGTCAACAGAACCAGAGATGATATTCTACATGATATCCACCAAACATATGATGATACACAAATTTTCATCAACATAATCCTTAAAATCCATAACAATACCTTCAAGTGATATAAAGTTTACTTACTGGGTAGAGGAACGTCTCCTTTCGATCAATGCCATAAGGATTTTCAGCTTGACATGTCCATTCTCCCATGTGTTCCATCCAAGATATATCTTTAATAATCAAGTCGCCGTTGTCAGCTACCTATAAAAGTTATTGAGAATGGGTCAATGTTGAATCAAGTTCTCAAGAATTACGTTATTAATCTGATTGCTATTTACTGCCAAAGATTTTTCTGGATTAAATCTAGTGGACAATGATCAAAGTTGTGCAACCTATATAGTATATTCCATCTAGAACCTACTTTGTACTCTTCATCTTCATCTGTGATCATTTTACCATGATTATTAAACCAGGTTATTTTAGGTGCTGGTGTACCTTCAGCTCTACAGTAAAGTTGTACTGTGGCATCTTCAAATTCAATTCTATTTTTAGTCCATAGATATATACGAGCTGCTTCTCCTGAAAGACAAGTGATTAACTAGTTAAGCTACCGCGCTCATTTTGAAGGCTGAATACACAATATTGAAAAGAAACCCACATTTTTCTTTGGTGTTATGTAAGAGAATGTTGAATAAGATTGATTTGATTATAAATACACTAAAGAAGGGTCCTTTTCTAGAAATACTTGTTGGTAGTTTTCTTGAAATAGGTCAAATTTGGCAGATTCAAGGCAATCTCGTGGTAGTTTTGTCTGTAAGAGAGGGAGATCTTACTAAGCAATTTCATGACATGTTTGTTTTGTTTACACTAATAGCAATGATTTTTAATTATGCCTTCCACAAACTCTATACCAATTGTCTTAGATGGTGATTAGAACATATTCTCACAAAAGCATAAAGTAAAGATTTATGTTAAAACAGTATGCAAATGGAAGTTAGTATGCATGTGATATTAAAAGGTTTTCAATAGTATGTATGTGGTATCAAAAGAAACTCATCTAAACATAACATAATGTTAACTGAATCTGAAAGTATTAATCTTTATAGTATTACTCTATAAAGTTGATAGGCGATAATTTAAGGGATGTGCTCGCCATTCGTTTGACCAATAGTACTATAGTCTCAGAAATAGAATTTCTTTTAGCTTAGATGATCAGTTATAGTGTTCACAACGTCGAAATTTGAAGCTTCAAACCATTGTCTGCCCAGAATTATCCGCGATTGAATGTTAAAATGACGATTCGTCATTTTTTAGACTCTAAGAAATAGAAAATGAAATTCCGAGTTTGAAGTTTTTCTGAAGACTATTTACATATATTCAAGGCGAAAATGGCGAATCTTTTCCCGTTAAATGTATAATATTTCAAATATTGATCATTATTGACGTCACAGATTCATCTTTTTAAACGAATGAGTAGTTCTCTGTAGCATGGGGATATGCTGCATGTATCACTACACAATACAGATATTAATTTCACGTAATTCTTTTTATCATCTCTTATATTTATAGTCCAAATTTCATTACCAAGTATCATACTTTTAATTTCGCTTTATGTTAAAACAAATTTAAGATTCGTTTGTTTATGGATGTACTTGAATTAAACTCGCTATGAAGTAGGAGTTAAAGGGTGGTTTTGTGATTTATTTCAGAAATGATTTGTCTTAATTGTTGCATCTTCTGACTGATGATTTGCTACTTTTAGTAGTTTGTAACAAACGTTTTTCCTTAGAAAGAAATTAATTTAGATTAAACTTCAGCCATTAAAGAAAACAAGATAGTTTTTGTTAATTTGTAAAGGACAATTTAATTGTACAACAGAAATAGTAAATTTAAAAAAAAATGCTTTCTAACATTTAATGGTGGTACTAAAAGTTCTGAATACAAACATAGCAGAATATTGCAAGGCTCCAACGTTAGTATTATAGCAAGGTTCTAAAACTTAAAGGTACGGTTCATAATATAATATGACACGGTTCAGCATAATATAATATGATCCTGGTTCAGCATTTAATTTAATATGATCCTGGTTCAACATTTAATATAATATGATTCTTGTTAAGCATTATATGATATAATCCCGGTTCAGCATATAATTTTATCCTGATTCAGCATTTAATATAATATGATCCTGGTTCAGCATTTAATATAATATGATCCTGGTTCAGCATTTAATATAATATATTCTGGTTCAGCATTATATAATATAATCCCGGTTCAGCATAATATAATTTATCCTGGTTCAGCATTTAATATAATATTATCCTGGTTCAGCATTTAATATAATATTATCCTGGTTCAGCATTTAATATAATACGATCCTGATTCAGATCCTGGTTCAGCATTGAATATAATATGATTCTGATTCAGCATTGAATATAATATGATCCAGGTTCAGCATTTAATATACTATGATCCTGTTTCAGATCCTGGTACAGAATTTAATTTAATATGATCCTTCTTCAGCATTTAACATATTAATATGATCCCGATTCATCATTTAATATAATATGATCCTGGTTTAGCATTTAATATAATATGATTCAGGTTCATCATTTAATATAATATGATTCTGGTTCATCATTTAATATAATATGATCCTAGCTCAGCGTTTAATATGATATGATCCTGGCTCGGCGTTTAATATAATATGATCATGGTTCAGATCCGGGTTCATCATTTAATATAATATGATTCTGGTTCAGTATTTAATATAATATGATCATGGTTCAGCAATTGTGTAATCAAATATCAAAAATTTAAAAAAGATATATATATCAACATCCTATTAATGTCAACAAATTGTATCTTGCATGCAATATAAATCATGTTAATCTGTAGTGTTATTTCTAATTTCCTATTGAGATATTTTTGGTTTTGGGCAATATGGATATATATTGCTTTCTATTAGTTGATCAGCATGATATACATTACCTAATTAGGAATTGTCTATTTTTAGGTTATGTTTTGGTTATAATTTCTAATACCTATTGCATCCTAGTGAGTTTGTTAATACAGAATAGACGTAAGTCTTTCAACATCTTTCAGACAATATGTCACACACGGTGAAACAGGTCAAATATATCTCTTACCGAGGAAGGTGAAAAAGGTACATTCTCGCTTTTGCTTTTGTCACCATTTCATTTTACTTCAAATAATTAATTATATTATCTTTTAATCTTATAAAACAATGTGTTCACATTTTTATATTTCTTACCTCATCCATGTTACACTAAATGTATATATGTTATGTTTTATGTTATTTTCTGTATTTTTATTCTATATGTAATCTTGTATATAATCTTAAGTTTAGTGGAACCTATTGAAAATTAGACTTTTGTCTAAATGGGTTGCCAAAATAAAGTTATTATCATTATTATTATTATTATTATAATGTTTGTATATGAGCATTTTCTAGTCGGCACGTATTCGGGTTAATTAAGTGCCAACCTGAAAAAACTTCTTACGAGACTACTATCAAAAAGGAATTCTGCAAACGTAATCTTCAAATTCATTGATGATTGAATCATTTTGCATATCACATATAAGAATAGATTTGTCCCTTGACAACCTTAAAGAGATTATGAAAAGCTTTCTAAAAAACATTACGTGTATTGGGGACACTGATAGCATCAATTTGCAGCATTCCAATTTTCAATAAGATGTATGTATAGCTCCCACAATTCGACTAAAACTAAAAATCGAAATGCAGGAACCACAGACGTCTGATTGAAAATTGATGCTATCATTGTACCCGATACACATAAACAAATTTAGAAAATCTCTTTACAATCCCTTTAAAGAATAACATGTAATATATTTTAAGTTCAGACTATTTTCAAATCTTTGACTAAATAATAAATAAGCTTTTAATGGGAAAACACTTACCCTCTAAAGATTTTTTTACCAGACAATTTTCTATACTGTTATATTTTTGTCTGTCTAAAAAAAAACAAAGTTATTAAGTAAAGTGGTTATAAGCAGAGCCTAACCAGAGAACTCTTATGCACTTTGGCCTTTAAAATACAGATAATACCTCTTTTGAGGACTGCAAAACGTATTTCACTGGTAAGACAACATGAAGTAAATAACAGTACAACTTCCTCTGATTAACATGGATTGCCGTGGACACCAAACCTGTCATACGTAAACTTGCAACATCACTCTTGATCTATTTGCTTTAACGCTCTAGTGGCAAACACAAGTAAACGTTACACTTTCAAGACGAAAAGAGAGTATGTCCACTGTAAACAGCTGTGCAGTTAACCTTACTTAGTGATTCAATAATCAGTTTAACACTTTACTTACCTAAGACTACTTTTGTTGATCGTTCAATACGGGATTTTGGTGTTTCAGCTATACATGAATATTCGCCTTCTGTTTCAGGCGTAAGGCAATCAAGAAAAAGGTTGGATACTGTCGTAGAAAGTCGTAATAAAGGTTTCCCTTCTTGACTTATTCTATCTTCATACAAAGCTTCGTCATCTTCAAAACCATGATAAACACCCTGCAAAGAAGAGTTGTATAAAATATTGGTAATCAAATAATTATAAACAACCTTAAATATCAAAAGTAACATTGATAATAAAAAATGTTAAACGGCCTAAACCACTGAAATAATGATAAACTACTTGAAACATCAAAAGAATTATACACTACTTCAAAAGAGACGTCATAATTCAAATGTTGAGTCGATAATGAAACAAAGACAAACTACCCGAAACATTAAAAGTAACGTATAGGTAAATGAAAAAAAGATAAACGGTCTGAAACATTAAACGAATGATAAACGACCTGAAACATGAAAAGAATGGCAAAATACCTCATAATTCTAATGTTGAGTGGGTAATACAACAAAGATAAGCAACCTGAAACATCAAAAGTAACGTGGAAAAAATGATAAAGCGTCTAAAAACACCATAAGAATGATAAAAGACCTGAAACATCAAAAGAATGATAAAGGACGTAATAATTGAAATGTGAAGCGGATAATGAAACAAAGATAAGCAATCTGAGAAACATAGAATCTCACGTGGATAATGGAACAATAATAAAAAGACCTGAAACGTGGATAAATGCCAAGGATTATCTTAATGTATTGAGCCAAAACATCTGTAAGATTGAAATTTTCTTTGAGATTTTCTTGTGAGGACAATTTAAATGCTAAAAACATTTCGAGATAAGCAAACTATTATGCTATTATAACCATGAATCGAAATAACACACTTTGTACTATTCTTCAGACTAAGTTTATCTTAAATTTTTTAAACTATCAGTTGTAGTATCCATAATCACTATAATCGGAATGGGTTAGGAACCTCATTTCCTTCCGCCCACCTTCTGTTTTTGATTGCACAATGGATTCTTGATAAAGATAGGCAATTGAAATTGTCTGTCGTATATCACCACGACTATAACATCATTACACTGGAAGTCAAGTCGCACAATTTCTTAAGACGAAAATACATCATTATATAAATTTAAGTAAATAGATTAGGTTGAACTCACACCTGCTTCAACCATTATCATTGCCTGTCTTCCTTTCTTAATCTCTTGATATTTTACGTAAATCCCAGTTTGACATTCAAGAATTTTCTATTTTAAAATTGTGTTATTCAACATAATCTGGATTATTCAGTGATTTTCCTCGTTTATAGTATAGTTTTGTAAACTTAGCAAGGCTTGACATATAAGACGTATTTTTTTTAAAAAAAACAGGCCAGAAAAATATCTTTCTACATAATGTCTGAAACTCATTGAAAGTGTTTCTTTAATTTTTTATTATTAAAAAAAACTAAAAAAAACTTTTCTATCTGCACACGTTTGATTTTTAATTGAAAAAATAGGTTTATTCTACTAACCTGTGTTAATCTTTCACCGTCTTTTAACCAATGTATGGTGGGGGTAGGAGTTCCTCCAACATCACATTCTAGAGTTACTTTGTTATGGCGGTTTATACGTGTTACCGGATGCTTAAAATATAATCTGGAATCGTCTTGATTACTTCCTCCTGTAGAAAATAGAATATAAGACAATGTCAATTACTTTTCAAAGAAACAGTCATGGGCTGAGAATACAATATATATATATTGTTTTTAGATATATCTCTTTTCAATATGGAATATTTACAAAACTTATGTCGGAAAAAAATTTAGTTGTATCAACAAGCATAATTTAATAGAATTGCAAGAAGTTAGAACCCCTTGAATCTGAAAACTCTATTCCTGAATGGTGGCAGACGTTCTAGAATAATCAGCATTATCTAACATTACTCGTGAACTCTCCACAATAATCATTTTAGTGATGCTTAACCTTTAATAAAGATTTTTGGACTCAAGAGTTTAAGAATGTAACATAAATACAATTTACAAATCAAATAAAACTTACCAACAGAACCTGAGCTCAATCTTTTGAGTAGAGAAAATCTGTGTTTTCTACCCTGAAAAAAGACGTAATATAAATATCATATAGAACATGTTCTAATGTCTTCAAACAAAATTGCATCATTCAATTTTTTTGACACATCAAATGATTTATAGCATTATAATGTATGTTGAGAATATAATAATTTTCAGCGTTGGCGTATCTGATGACTTCTAATTTACAGGGACAATATTATGTAAAATAAACTACTTGTGTGATGACAATTTAGCATAGCGCAAAAATGCGTGATAATGACCATTGTTGATGAGAGATTTAAACAATTAGTGCAGTCTTAACACCGCCATTATGTTGTGTAATAGTCTGGTAATGTGGAATCTGGCTCCCAAATGACACAATTTGCTCGTAACTCATCATTTCAGATTTCATAAGTATTCGAACAGTTTCCATGAGGTGCTGAAAAAAATGACTTTTTTATCAACCATAAAGATCATGAAAGTAGTAATGACATGAGCATCAGTTTAACATTAGAGTCATTTGAGTCAGATATGCATATTGTTTTTTTCTATTAATCTTTAAAATATTTCTACTTTACTTCGTAGCCTACATCACATTCAATGTGAAATTGGAAGGTCTGTTTTCAAAGAGTAAACAATTCCAACGTTTTCAATTCGCGTTATCATTTCAATGTTGTACGTTCTTCAGCAAAATTTAGTTTTTTTACGTTCATGAAGATACATTGAATTAAAAATAATGATGTGTTTCGAGGACCACAGGACATAGCCAACATCATACATACAACAATACACCAATGTCATAAACTTCAGTGAAAATCTTCGGGAGAATTTAGGCGATAACGAAATCAGATATGACATACCAACAAACCCATATGAAATAAACATAGAACTGTACAGTGAAAGCTAAACCATGTTGTGCATTAGCCGAACATTTGGAATATTGTAGGATGGATTGAGCTGTATATGCCACGAAGTTCAGATAATAATATGTAAGCACAGGGAATACAGTATGATTATTTTATTACAAAGTACATCAATATCTACTTAGAGTAAACGATTGGGTGAAAGAAATTCCACATTACGCATAATAATAGACAATAAGAGTCAATCGGATTACTGATCATATTAAAAAAATTACTATAAAAAAACTTGAAGATGTTGATGACTTCCTAGTTGGAACTGAATGTATATTAACAATGTTTTATGATTTTTGTTGATAAATATATCCTCTTCTTCGAATAATTCTATCTTAGGCATGATCACAAAATACTTCACGAAAACAACAATAAGTCATGTATAACGATTGTATACTTCCTTTTAACAAAAACTTCCACGTACACGGACTTTAAGAATGACTTACACATTGATCACCCTAGATAGACATGATCTTTTACCATAAAAGGATAACTATTTTTTACATTTTAAACTAACCTCGCAAGATATACGTCTCCTGAGATATAAATATTTTATTTCATTTTGATCATTTCAACTTATTTTAGGATTTAAAAATGTTTCGCAAAGATCAATCTTCTACATGCACTTTGTCTCTTCTTAGTTTGTCTTAAACAGTTCGATAAACATTTTCTGAATACAGGAAGGATGGAACAAAATATACAATTAATTAATTAGTGTCTTTCCTGTTTTGCATGTTTATGGTGGAATTAATGCAAAAAAGATTCACAATCTTATTTATTTTTTGGTTGCTATTTTCAGTCTAGAATATTGAAAATATTATTACATTATTGTATTAAGTTTGAGCATGATGAGAAATCATGTTCTTTTCTGATGTAGCCCAAGTAATAACGATAACAGATCATCGTAATTTGAATCTGATTAAGCGGAAGTAGTCCAGTGAAATCTTTAGCGTTAAAAGGAGATACAATTTCCAAAGATTTGTCTGCGATGTTGTGAACCGTTTCCCTTGGGCAATTTAAAGCTTATTTCTACACTTTTCTTCATTTGTACTTTAAATTAGCTCATTTGCTACGTTATCTCGAAAATTATACGCCAATAAAAGACACGAGAAGTTGCCATTCAAATATCACATACGACGCAATAGACACATTTGTCCAAATTACCTTGAAGAATATTCTATTGGCAAAGTTCCCACTAGGCTAGTAGGTACAAACATATGATCACTATTAATACTAGACGTTAGATAATAATGTTTTATCTTCTACCTGCATTACATAAGCGGTGAGGTATCAATAAAAGTACCCAAAGAAATTATTCGGTTACAATCTTGAAAGCATCGCCTTCATCCACATGCGATAAATATTCAGTGAATTGCTGATGTACATATACGTTATGTTCATTTTAGAAATTTGTACCAAAAGATTCGTGATATGCAATAAATAGACGACGAAACATTTGTCTTTTACTTTCCTGTCGGTCATTGTTTTTTTTACTCAAATTCATATATGAATCAATATATTCTAATGCAACTATAAATTACCGATTTGCATCGCTGACAGAGGAAAACCAGGTTGGATCGTTTAGCGTACGAGCGTTTAAAGACCAGGGTTAGCCATTTTCGGGGGATGATTTGGGTTTGAATATATGCAATTAGTTTTCAGAACTACTAGAACTGCAGAAAAATCGCACTATCCCTCAAATATATTTCATACTAGATTTTTCTTTTAATTTTTCTATATATGCCTGGCGTTGTATCTAGAAAAGTCGAGTCGTCAATTTAACTTTCTGGACACACATGGATTAGAGCCTCAAATTTCCACGGTGAGCCGTGAACCTGCCTTGTCAGTACGCAATTTATATTCAAATTTAATAATGTTTATGGATTTGGAGATAAGATTTGAATCATTTCGAAATATTCTAGATGAAAATTGAATTGCGGGCTCTTTAATACAAAAGGTCATTACTAAACTGTTATCAATATAAATAAGCATATCCCTGTGATATTTCTAATATGACCTATCTTTTATAGTTTAGAACAGTTTCATCATCAGGTCATCAAGGTCAACAGAATAAGTTTAAACCTGATGTAGTGAGTGACCAGTAAAAGAATGTACTATCCCCTTTTTACCCCCAGGCTACATTCACATCTACTGACCAATATTCTAAATATAGCACCTATGTAACCTACGTGCACATTGTATTTACGGACACGTGTTTCTATTTTCGATTCACAACGGTTAAAGAATCTGGTTTCTAAAAAAGGAATAAAACGAAAAGAGCAGACATTTACTCCATATTTTAATCACAATTTGTATTTTGTAGATTTAATAAAATGGTATATATGAACTATTCAAATAATATCAGACATTATCTTATTAATAATACATCATACTCTTTTGGCTAGAATATCGCAATTAAGTGTTTATTATTTTATAGTAAAGTTAAATTGCCAACCGTAAAAAATATTTACTGATAAAGTACATTTTTTTTTACTCTCGGTGTTTTCTCTTGAAATGAATTTTCCTGAGAATGAATTTCAACAATTACAGTCTTTCAACACTGTAGAAACCCTTTTCTCAATATACAATACAAAGCGTAGCTGGTTTTCATAATATCCAGTAGAGGTTGTTTGAACTCAATTTTAAGTTTTTGTATACGAAGAATTAGCGTATTATAAAATATATGCATTAACAATATGAGCGTTAAATATTTAAACAGTATTTCAAGTAAAAATAAATTAAATAAAAGACTTACCTTAAGTGATGCTAGAGTGAGAGTTGTAGTGTAAGAGATCACTAATAAAACAGCTAATAATGTTCTATACATTTCTCTTATATAAACAAAAACACAAAATTAAACTGAAATTACAAAAGAAAAAATTTATCAGTCGAACTATCTCTAAAGTATTGCACAAAAATGTATGATCAATGTACAAAAGATTAATAACGTTCCTATTTTCAAATTATGAAATAAGACTCCATAAGACTATCAAACCTACCTTAAAACTATATCTACAGTAAAAGCAGGATGTTTCTAACGTAAAATTCCAATAATGGTAGAATATTATTCTCTCACCAATCTTTATCCTTTATCAATAGTATGGCTCTAACAAACCATTTCTAATATATACATCCTATCTGACGTCGACACGCCTACGGCCACAAGTATCCGACCAATGGCAAATCTTCCTTTACATATGACAGTAAAATTTAGGCGGTCAATTTCACAACGACAAGTAAAAATTCATTCATAAAACGTGTAGTATTCTATGAGTAGTAAATGTCATTCACTTACTGTCTATTTTCAATCATAACCGTCAGAAGAATATAGATCTGATCATGTCGGTCGTTTTTGTTTTCGATAAGAGGTTGTTAAGAGTGTTTTTTTTTTAATCTTATGTGTTACTTCTTCTAAATAGTTGACAAAAGGAGTATTCTGACAAAAAATTGGTCGACGATACACTTTACCCGGTAATAGTAGTACCGAATATAACCTATACGTACGGAACACACCAAACCTTCCACAATATGTACATCTGACCAATATTTTACAGAGTTAGCATATATTACTCATCAAAACATTTACAAATCTATTAACTCGGACCTTTGGACAGCTGAAACCAGCACATGTGATAATCATTTCTGTTACAT